TCATTTTCATCACATTATGTTGTTACTGACACACATGAACATTTGTCATATTCATAATTACAAGTAATTTGCTAACAACGAGATCCATCATTATGTTGATAAAATAATATTTTAATAGAATCAATTCACGATGGAGCCTCCCAAGCTGACTCCCATAGATTCCAATGAATTTTTGGCTATGGATACTGCACGATGCTCTCTAGTGAATACATTGCACTATTTTCAGTGCGTAGTGCTTTCTTCAAAAGGTACACGCATTTTTCAGACATTTTTCTTTTTTTTCTTGAGTTATCAGAAAGTGAAATAAACAAATTTTGATTCGAAAATTTGTTAATAAATAGACAGACTAGACACTAAAACACTATGCAACTTTTAGCAATAATAAATATGTTCTTTTAAATATATTCCTTCAAAAAGTGAGTATATTTCAAAGAACATATTTGTTATTGCTAAACTTTTCATGGTGTCTTAGTGTTCAGTCGGCCTATGTATTAACAAAATTTCTGAGCAAAATCCGATTATTTCACTTTCTGGTAACTCAAAAAAATGTACTTTTTCGATTGAATATGCATACATAGATATATTAGTTATTGCCAAGAGCAAACTGGACAAACTGTTTAGAAAATTGATTCCAAGCATAAAGGAAAACAGATAGTAAAGAATTCGACTGGTCGCTCTGCTAGGTGACTATTTAAATAATACTACTACTAAATGTGGGTGTGGGTGTGGTTGAGTTAAGAATAGTCACATCCACACACCCACACCCACACCCTTCAAGCTAAGAGTTCAGCGATTCTAAATAAAGGAATATTCTTATTTCTAGATCTCTGACTTAATGATTAAATAGACATACCAGAAATTATTCCAAAAATTCTTCAAATTATTGCTATGCTGTAGGCATTTCCTAGCTTAGATAACTTTGTTTTTAATCAAATGATCCTTTTATGGCCAAATTTTTGTGCTGATCATGAATCTGAAATTATATTTTTAATTCGAGTAATCATATAAAATATAGTCAACTACTCAAGGATCCGATTGAATACAGAAAAATATTCAATGTCAACATTTGCGGTGTAGAGTAACTATTTTCGCTCAACTTTTATCTGAATGCAACACTATAGAAGATGCAGAATTTCAAGGGTGTGGGTGTGTGGATGTGACTGTATTCCTAACACACTCACACCACACCCACACCCCTCAAGATTCATCACACAATTTCAACTATGTTTCCTAGAATTAAAAAATAAAATAGATCAACTTAACATTTAAAAGATAAAAAGTGCATACCTTGGCAAGCAGCTGGTCCTGAACAGAGACGTGCAGAGGACATGATTTTTTGTCCTGTTCTTACCTGTCCTGCTGGCTACTTTGGTCCTGGCGGGCGGGAGGACAGGGCAAAAATCGAAATCTCATCCTGTCCTCCAGGACAGGGCAGGACAGCAGGACCGCCCTGTTCTGTGCACGTCTCTGATACTGAGTAATATGTGAGGGTGTGGACGTGGGCAGATTCAAAGAAAACTTTCGAGAACAAAAGTACCGCATCGTCATAAAATTAAAATCCTATCTATTTTTTTCTATATCAATGGATAGAAAAGGATGAATTCTTTGTCTATTAAATTAATAAGTGATTTCGTCACTACGAAAGTAAGATGAATCTTATACGCTGTACCATCGTCATTTGCCATGAATTTACTTCATTTAGTTATTAAAATATTGCCCAAGAAAATAATATCTGAAGCTTATGAATATCGAATCGATTAACTGTA